ACAGGGTCTTTTGACTTTACTTTATGATTCATTTCTGTAATATTCTGCCCACTTATTAGCGCCCAATACAATTTTCTCTCATCTTCCTCCTCTCCTCTCCTCTCGTATCTGTCTTCTGTCTCTTGGTCTCTGTCTCTCTCTCTCTCTCTCTCGTCGTCTCTCTCTCTCTTCTCTCTCTCTCTTCTCTCTTCCTCTCTCTCTCTCTCTCTCTCTTCTCTCTCTATCTATCTATCTCTCTCTCTCATCTCTCTCTCTCTCTCTCTCTCTGCTTCCTCTCTCTCATCTCTCTCTCTCTCTCTCTCTCTCTCTCTCTCTCTCTCTCTCTCTCTCTCTCTCTCTCTCCTCTCTCTCTCTCTCTCTCTCTCTCTCTCTTTCTCTGTCTCTCTCTATCTATCTATCTATCTATCTGCCTATCTATCTATAACTAACTTCTCTCGCCAGATCCAGTGACTATTAACAGTAAAAATATTTATATTTTTTTACAAAGAACTCCCCCATTTGCCGAAAACAAACACACTGAACAAAAAAGTTAACAAAAATCTGGGAAAGCCATTTTTTACAGATTTTTTTTTTCAATCACTTGCAATACAGCGTGCGTTGTGAGTCAGCTGAAAAGGTATGACATAAATCTGATGGTGTTGTCTGGCATTTGTAATCTGCGGTCTTTGTCTTTTCTTTCTCTTATTTCTTGTATATTGTATATCAGTTTTACTTCTTTCTCTCTCTTCTCTCTCTCTCTTCCTCTCTGTCTCTGTCTCTGTTCTTCTTCTCTCTCTGTCTCTGTCTCTTGTCTCTGTCCTCTCTCTCTTTTCTCTCTTCTCTCTCTCTCTTCTCTCTCTCTGCTCTCTCTCTCTCTCTCTCTCCTATCTATCTCTATCTCTATCTCTATCTCTATCTCTATCTCTCCCTCTCTCTCTCTCTCTCTCTCTCTCTCTCTCTCTCTCTCTCTCTCTCTCTCTCTCTCTCCCTCCCTCCCTCTTCAACGGAATGTTAAAACCTCTCCCTCTCTCTCTTCTCTCCTCTCCTCCTCTCTCTCTCTCTCTCTCTCTCCTATAATATATATATATATATATAATATATATATATATATATATACATACGTGAGTGTGAGGTAGGTGGTGTGTGTGTGTGTGATTGAGTGTGGTGTGTGTGTGTGTTGCATAATCTTATAAAATGTGTCCTGTGTGAGCTATGCGTGTGCTCGTTGAAAAATTGTGTTATAAAGCAATGTTGTGATGTGTTACGTGTGTGGTGTGTTGTGTGTGTGGTTAATGATGGTGTGGTGTTGTGACTGGGTTGTATGTGGTTTTGTCTGTGCGTGTTTTATGTGTGTATTGTATGTGATGTGTGTGTGTGCGCACGTTTGTTTGTGTGTGAAAAACAGTGTGTAGTGTTGTGTACGTATACAAATACATACAAATTCCGTTCCATAGAAAAAAAAAACATAAAAAAATTTTGACCTACACCAGCACAGTTCCAAAACAACACACAGAAACAGGACACACAGACATTCGTACCCACAAGGAACATACACACTTCCATGCAATCATGCTGTGACCCAGCCGCCTTGCTCCCCCCCCCCCCCTGTCCCCTGCCCTCCCCTCTCTTACCCCTTCTTCTCTAACCTCCCCTTTTCCTTTCCCCTCTCTCCCCTTTTCCCCCTTTCTCCTTTCCCTTTCCTTCTTCTTTCCCCCTATCTTTCCCCCTTTCTCTCTCCTCTCCCCTCTATCTCCTCTCTCCTTCCCCCTTCCTCTTCCCCTGCTCTTACCCCCTCTCTTCTCTACCCGCCCCTTTCCCTTTTCCCTCCTCCTCTCATCGCTCCTTTCTCTCTCTCCCTTCCTTCTCTCTTTCCGCCTTTCATCTCTCTTCCTCTACTCCCCTTCCCCCTCTTTCTCCTCTTCTCCCCTCTCCTCCCCCCTTCCTTTCTTTTCTTTCCCCATCTTTCCCCTCCCCTTTCCCTTTCCCCCTTTCCCCTTTCCTCTTCCCCTTTCCCCTTTCCCCCTTTCTCCCCTCCCTTCCCTCTTCCCCTTTCCCTATCTCCCTCCCCTCCACCACCCCCTTCCCCTTCTCGGTCCCTCTCCTTCCCATTTCCTCCCTCTTTCTCCCCACCTTCCCCTTTTTCTCCACCTTTCCCCCAACCCCCCCCCCTTTCCCCTTTTTCACCGCCCCCCCCCCCCCGCCTTCCCCTTTTTTTCTCCCCCCCCCCCCCTCGCCAGGCTGCTTTCCAATCGAGGTGTCTGTACTGATGGCTGACCGGTGTGGTGTGGCACACGTGAGGGTGTGTGTCTCTTGAATTTCTGTGTCAAGATTAAATTTGTGTTTTCTTTTCTTTTCTTTTTTTTTTTTTTTTTTTTTTTTTTTTTGGTTATTCTTTTATATTTTATTATTTATGCATTTTGTTTTTTCTTTTTTAGCTGTTTTGTCTCTGTGTCTCTGATTTTCTCTCGGTAACTTTCTTTCTTTTATCTTCCTTTTCTTTTTTTTTTCTTTTTCTTTCTTTCTTTCTTCCTTCTCTCTCATTTTCTCTCTCTCCTCTCCTCTCTGCTCTCTTCTC